GTATTTCATTACTTATTACAATAATTTTTTAATAGAAATTGGACAGGAATGTTAAGAGGCTCCCATTTTCCAAAATTTTTGGTTATCTCCCTTGTCTAAAATAAAATTAAATAGAAGAGTTCAGAGAATTGTTAAGGTTGGAAACGACTTCTAAAATCATCAAGTCCCACCGTTATTTCAGCATTGCTGTGCTCACCCTTAAACTATATTCCCAAGTGCCACATACACACTCATTTTGAACATTTCCAGGATTGGTGATTTCACCATTTCCTTGGGCAGCCTGTTCCAATGCCTGACCACCCTTTCAAAGAAGAAATATTTTCTAACATCTAATCTACATGTACCCTGGTCACTTTGTTATCTGGGGCAGGAGAACTGATCTCCCCTCACTAGATCCTCCTTTGAAGTAGCTGAGGAGGGCAGTAAGAGCCTCCTCACCTTTCTTTTCTCCAGGCTAAATGAGATCAGATGCTGCTTATCATCTCTGTCCCTTACTCTCTATTAACGGCCAAAGCCACAAGCACTTGCATGCAACAATTTACACAGTTTTTTTTGATTCTAGGAAAAGTTTGGAGGGTCTCTTTCTAACACAGCATCAAATAAATTCAATCAGTTTACCAGAACTGTTATATCCTGGAAGCAACACATAGTAAAATGCAGTATTACAGTGTGGTCTTCTTTGTGTTTAGATTTTGGTTTGTACTTACCAGTCATAGAACTCAAAGTCCTTATTTTATTTAGTACACTATCTAATTTACAATAGCTGTTTATTACCAAAAGACAAGATTTAATTTTTTTTTTTTTTGTTTAAAGTAATCCTGATTGCTCAAATAGGTAGCATGACAAGTGGGCAAAACCTGGTAGTGAGCTCAGGGCTGAAATATCTAGAGATTAGAGTTGACAGTAATGGCTGTGTTCAGCCTCTTCCATCAGCAGGAATGGATTGCAACAGACAGTGAAACAAATTTGTAGCAATGCTGCTGATATGGCAGCTTTACCCTGAACAGAAATTCAGGGAAACAAAAACTGTGCATAGAGCTTGATTTCTGCAGGGCTTCTGACAACTATTGCTCCTCATGTTGGAGTCAGTCAGGGTGTCACATAAAACCCCTATTTAATTAACCTTATTTAGGTTTACATCCAATAAAGAGGAAACACATTATTATTAACAGACTGGTGTTTTGATTTCATGTAGTGTAGAACTTAGTTCTTCCTATTTAGAAATTCTTAGGAAATTTTAATCTTAATTTCTCAATATGATAAAACATGATAAAAGTACTACAAGAAATTAGGGAATTACTTGAAAATACAAGGAAGGGTGTAAATTTATGTATTGTCCAAAATTCTAGGTTGTCAAATTGAAGTCTCTAGGCAGGAATTAAAAGCATTGTCCAATCTATATCTACTGTCCTTTCTGACGTAAAACAGTAGATTTCCATTCACTTCCATGTGAACAAATAACCACTGTAAAATATAACATGACAAGTTGTACTTATTGCTTCCCCTGGTGGTAGTTTCAGCTAAGATCAAAGACCAAGAACATATTTAGACCAAATAATTTTCTTGAGTCTGAAAAGTCAAGGTGAGGAACATTAGGAGCAATGCTGTTGCTTGCCAGTCTGTGGATAACCACAGTAAATCATTTTGTTTGGTTGCTATAAAAACAGTATCAGCCTTCAAGCACAGAGTTGGAATTATGATAGTTGGGTGAAAATCTACTGAAAAAATCAGATATTTTTAGATGAAAAAGGGATATGTCTATGAGAAAATTAAGGTCAGCAGAGATTTTAAGAGAAAATATCTTGAATAGAATTTTGACTAGGACTTCTACAATTGGCACAAGGGAGAGAAAATCAAAGTTATCCAAATAAAAAATAAAACCAAGCAAATTTATAGTTTCTGCGTTCATTGCATACTGTGTTGCTACAATAAAATTTTGGAACTCTATCTGCAGTCATTCCAGTAGAAATCAGCTGGTCCATTTTACTTAATATTCACTTCATGCACAAGTTGACATCCTCATCACACTTATATTTTTGCCAGGTCCTTGAAGTACCTAAATTGGTATGGGTACTAAATTATTGATAGCTCAGTAAAGAACAGCAAAAATACCTTTGGTTTTCATGAAAGATTACTTCTCAATATGAAAAATTATAAAAGCTTTTCTTGGTAGAGAAGTTACTGATATAGTTTCAAAACAAATTAGTAATATTTATTAGTAAGAGAAGATTTTATTTTTAATTGTAATTGCTAAGGATCGTGCAATTTTAGTAAGTGAAAATTTCTCTACACCCCAAATAGATGTTACTTTGGTGATAGCTTTTATAACACTGCATTAAGCTTCAAGATGTGCATCATACCTAACACTTGGTTCTGCCACAGTGAAAGTATGAGGACTGCAACCAGTGATGAGAGGTTTACAGTGGTTTTATTATTATCAAAATCCATTTAAATAATGTTTAATTTGCCAGGCTTTAAAACACATAAGCAAACTGCAGGCAAGCCTGAAAATATTTTTATCTGGTGAAGTATCACTGTATGGACAAAAAATGGACATATAATTCTGTGCCTTCATGCACACAAAAGATTTTTTTTTTTCTTAAACATACTCCATTAAAATGTATTTTGTTCAGGGTCAACTCATGCAATTTTGAAGTGTTTCATTCAGAAGAGCAAACTAAGGCATATAGATAGAACTCTATCAGACTTCAAGTTTCTATTTTCTCCATTGATAAACCTATGGCTTTAACTTATTGTGTATCTCAGCTTTGAAACTGGATAGTTTAAAGGAGATTGCATGACAGGAAAAAAGGAGTTTTATTTTCCTTTGTCCCCAGTACCTGGTCATGCTTTAGATTTTAGTGAAGTAAAGAAATACATTTTTAACTTTTTGATTAATTTCTCATTCTCATGTAGTTAACAGAAATTATAGTGAAAGACAATTGACAATTCCACAAATGAGTAAGTGTGGGAATCATGTCAAAACACAAAAAAATTCCTGTATTACCATAGCTGCTATTACCACTTTCAAGATTTGCATTTCTCAATGGATCCAGCTTCATTTCAGAACGATCAAAAAATCAAGATATTTTAACTACTACTTTATGAGAGACTTGTTCAGCCTGGAGCAGGCTGAGGTGAGACCTTGTTGCCACCTACTTCCTTATGAGAGGAAGCAAAAGGGAAGGTGCAGATCTCTTCACACTTGGGACCAGTGGCAAGACCCAAGGCATTGGCCTGAAGTTGTGCTAGGGCCTGACAGAGTTCAAGAAGTGATGGAACAACACTCTCAGGCACATGGTGTGACTCTTGGGGTGTTCTGTGCAGGGCCAGGAGTTGGACTCGATGATCCTTGTGTGTCCCTTCAAACTCATCTTATTCTGTGATTCTGTGAGTAGTACTATTTTCACTTGTAGCAGTAACACTCTAGCAGCACAGTTAGGAGGAGGTAATAAACTCAAATAGCTGGTTAAATCTATCAAGCTTTGGCCAAATTTTAATCATGTCAGGACAGCTAAAGCAATCAGTAATTTTAGTGAGGTTTGCATGAATATTTGACTGAATACTGACCTAATACTTTGATTACTTTGAGTAAGCCTTATTTCTATCAATTTGAGGGTTTTCTCTTATAGGAATGAAATTAATGTAGAATTCTTGGGAGAGATCTATGAAATCCTATTTTTTCATATACTAAATTATATTAAATTAGCTGTATTTTGACATGACATATGAAATTACATAAAAAATTTCCTAGCCTGTGGATTTTTTCCAGTGATTAAAAATTTCCTTTGAAGAGAGATGCTGAAATATAATGCAAGAATCATGTAGCTTGTTTTAGACTGCATTTTTTTGGGGGAATGACATAAAGTTAAATTGTGATCATAGGATGTTTTCTTGAATCAAAGGATGATTTTGAAGTTAAAAAAGAGCAAAAATTTTCCTTCTTACATAAATAGTGTTGTTTTGAGTCTTATATTCCTCAGATGAAGATAACTATGCTAAGATCCTTCGCACTAAAATATACCTTGCTAATATTGTTCAATTAAATGGTTTATTGAAGTAAACTGAAATTTTAAAAACATGAACTCCCCCACCAAGAGGATATAACTTCCATAAAGAGTATGCTTGCCTTTCATATAGGCAAGCAGAAAAAAAAAATATTGCAGCTGACAAGGTTTTTAATGTAAAGTTAACTTTGCTACATTGTACTCAAATGAGATAAATTAAGTTTTAAAATTTCCTGACCTTTATGAACTTAATTTTTCTCTGTTAACATAGCATGGACATTTGATTTACATTTCATTAGTTGGAAGATTCAGTTAAATGACTGCAGATTCCATTTCCAAGCTTGTTCACATTAAATGCTTTCTTTCTACTAAGAAATGTTCAAATCATTTTACATGAGACAGGTTTGAAATTCTTTATCATACAATTTGATCACATGAAACTCTTTTTGACTCAAGTGGCAATATTTGAATTTGGAATACATATTTTTGTCCATATGATTCATATTGACTTAAATAATGGTTACATGGTTCAGAATTACCTCATGCAGGAAAGTTAGTAAATACAGCATTTGCTATTCAGATATTAAAATATATTCTAGGCAAGTAAAGTGTTGGGAGGTACGGGCATTTCAACAGCCATGTTATCTATGAAAGAGACATCAATGCTCATAGCAGCATCCTTTTTATATTAAAATCTGCAGAAGAATGTAAGTAGAATTTGATGAAAACGCCTTTCTGTTCTCTCACAAAGATTATCTGATACATCACTATTAACAGGATATACAAGTTTAAATTTAATATCTTCTTGAAGAATACTACTTGGAGTAATTCTAGTGATCTGCAGTTTGCACCTCTTCTATCCAACATTTCTTTCTAATATTACTGAAACCATTTATCTCTCAGTTTGGTCAAAATTTAGTAAATGGGAGACATAAAAGCATGCAAATTTCTGGCAGTTCCCAGCACAGAGATGACAAATGCATAGTAACTTACTGCCTTGATGCTTTCAAAGTGTCCACCCTCTTTCTCAAAGTCAATTGGCTGCCCATTGAGTGTCCAGTAGAAGGTGACATCCATTGTGCTGTCATGAAGGGCTTTGCAGCTGAGGACAATGCTCTCTCCAACTGTTAACTCAACCTTCTTGGGAGTCAGCTCTATTCTTGTAGGTTCTAGAAACAGAGAAGTGTTAGCAACATTCAGATGGAAGTCTGCTTATAGTGCAACACCAAAATAATAGGATTGACTACTGCTATGTCTACTCAGAGCTTACATGTGCTGTTAGTATGAATTGCAGGCAGTCAAATACTGAAAGATATTCATAATGCACACTGAAGTATGACACTGGGGGTCAGAAGGTACAGAGAGTTTTGTGGAGTCAATAAGGCAGAATCCTAAACAACAATCTATGGGATATCTGACATTTTGACATGGATTAATTAACTAATTTTATTAGTTTCAGGAAAAGCTTTTTTTTTTTTTTTTAATTGCTGCAGCACCTGGAATCTTGTGATTGCATGAAAATCTCAGTTTTGTCACATAACATAATAAAGAATGTTTCCTGGGTTACTAAATAGAGGAAGAAACTTGAAAAATTAAATAAAAAGGCTTGAACACCTGCAAAGAAAATTAATGAATTCAGCTGAAAAATGAAAAAAAAAAAAAAGGTTCAGAAATGGATTGTTACTTAGCTGTTTTATTATTATTATTAATCTTCTAAGCTACTACCTTTCTCTGGATTTTGTGTAGGTACAATTATTCCTTTAATTTAAAGGTTTATTCTCATACAGAAAAAGTTAGGGGTGAGTTCCCAAAGATAAAATATGTTAAAAGGGATATTTATTCCTTTACTTATATAATTATTTATCGTTTGAATGATTTAATATATATACTAATTCTTATGACACCTCTACAATAAAACAGCTGGAATCTCCAATCTGATTAAATGTCTGACCAGATGGAGTTTAGTCCCCTTCGCTTGTTGGAAATGCTTTTTTATTCTGTCTGGAGAATGCTGCTTTATGGTTGGCTGGGGATTCTAAGTAATATTTAAATATTAGTCAAAAGAAAACATCATTACCATCAAATGATTTTTTCATACCTTTAACAGATACTGATGCAATGATTTCTGCAGATCCAAATACATTTACACCTTGGCATAAATACCTCCCTTCATCAGACTTGGAAGCATTCAGGATTCGCAGACTCCCATGTGGAAGAAAAATGATCCTGGAAAGGATAAATCCAAAAATATATAAATATCTCTTCCATCCTACCAGCCAAATTCCATGATGATATCTTTCAGAGATAATAAATAGGATTAAGGACTGCTGCCTCTATAGCAAGGGATGATAAAGATGATAACTGAATTATCTTCTGTCTCAAAGAGATTTTAATAATCTGTTTTACTACTTCTTCCTTAATTCAAAATTTTCACGGAAGCATCAGTGGATTACTATCCTTTGACACTTATTAGGGGTGAATTTTAATGAAACTTTAGTATAACAGTAAAAAAGGTAATCCTTCATAATTTGTCTTCAAAGTTTCACCACTATATTATTGTCAAATTACATTTCAATATCAAGCACAGGCTATTCCATCTAGAAAAAAAAATACCTTAGAAATCAAATCTGAGAAGAATAGGAAGCAAAATTCAAAAGACATGACAAAACCCCTATAAAATTAATAGTATCTGGTCAACACAAGATTTATGGCATCACAGCACAGTGTAGAAAAGGGACTTAAATAATCCTTGCTTTTTGTAGATGGCCTTTATTTTCTCTGAATTTATAACTGCAAGTCCACTATACCTCTTGATAAGTGACCCCACTAAAGCATTTTCATGAGAAATGTTCAGCTGCTCACATTTAGGAGTTTCAAATTTTGTTTTTGCTTGCACAATATGAATCAT